GAAATACAACTGCGTGAAACACACAGGTGTATAAAAATACAACTGCGTGAAACACACAGGTGTATAAAACTTCAACTGCGTGAAACACACAGTAGTATGAAACTTCAACTGCGTGAAATACACAGCAGTATGAAAATTCGGCTGCGTGAAACACACAAACTTCACGGATGCGTGGAGTGTATGGAGTGTACGCGAGTGATTCACGCAATGGTGCGAATAGTCACGGCCATTAATATTATTAATATTGACAAGTCATTACAAATCATTATGAATTAATTCATTACTATTAATCGATTATTATTATCAATTTAACGTTTAAACATACTCCGCGAAATTAAAAACTAATAAAATAATTCATAATCTAAATTGCCGATTGAAGATGAAGTAAATAATTGATAATATGGAACTGTCAACTGTGAATATATAAATTAATGATTACTTCCACAATTAAAAATTCCTAGTGATATTAACTAATTGACTCCCTCACATTTTAACGGTAATTCAAATTTATGAATACAGCTGTCCGGTCAGTGATAATTATCACTGAATAGCGCCAAATGAAGTCTCCGATTCCCGAAAAACTGAAGAAGCAAAACGAGAATTGAGAGATACATCCCCACCACTTTAACTCACTTAATCACTTAGTCACTTAGCTGTCCTAATGAGCCTCATTACAGATTGCTCATTTCGGCCATTAACTTTTCAAACTCTGAGTCCTGGCGATTCAGTCTGCCCTCAGAAGTTGTTGCATCTCCATCGAGGACTGAAAGTCAGGCAAAAAGTCGCCATGGAAATTAACAAACTGCTAGTTTCACTGCTTTTATTATCACTGAATTGTGTCAAAGTGGAGTCGAGGGTATCACCTCCTAGAACCCCCAACCCCCAGCTGAATTGGCTTGAGCAATCGCGTCAAATCTACCTCAATTATCCGGACGAAGTGAACGTTGGAGTTTGTATCGCGAAAAAAATTCTGAAAATAGTGAACTCCATCGAATCAAATCCCCTTTCTCCCGAGGCAATCGTAAAACTGGTGGCCATGGATCGAACGCCGGATAGTGCCAATGGACCAATGGAAAACTCTTCAAGAAATCTTCCGGAGTCTTCGGAATTAGCGTCGTTACGAGGTGGCACGAGTGAGAAATTTACGAGGGCGGAAGTGGATAGTGTCGGGGGAAAGAGCGACTCGTCGGCGATTAAAAGAATGGATGAGGCCATCCTGGAAGTGGCTCTGGTGAACCGAATGGGGGACAATTCAATCATTGTGGGAGTCATTAAACTCCTGGGTAGTCTAGTCAGGGCTATTCAGGCGCTCGCGGCGATGGTCAAGTCTTCGATCATTCTGTCCTGTCTTTGGGATTATATTCACACCAAGAGTCTTGACTGGGTCTACTACAATTACGGGTTTGATTAGAATTCACAGAGTCAACTGAAGTTTCGAGGACTGACAACAATTGGGGAAATCGTTAGGGAGGATTGAAGTAATGACGAGAATTTTTCGCATCCAAATTTTAAGCAATAGAATTGCACTATTCGAATGCTATTTTATATAGTCAATACGGTATTCAACTGATAATTCTTCATGTTGATACATTGTTAGAAATTTTTTGAAATTTCATGGAAGGTAATAGGGTACACCTCGTGAGAGTGACATTGATTCGAATTTATGGAAAAATGGCTATGAAACTTCAAGTTGTAAGTAGAATTCACAGAAATTCACGAGTTTTCAGTGGGCGTGAGATGGAAATTTCACAACTTGACTGAATTTTCTATTTTTCCCGGAATTTTCCTGATTTTTGTGGATTTTTACAGAATAATTGAACTGAAAAATCGAGCATTTTATTGATTTCGAGATCATTTGAACAGAAAATCAATGAAATCGTTGATTTTCCAATGGCACGACTTCCTGAAATTTCAGTGGGACTTGATCACGATAAAAATTTCCGGAATCAGGCACGGAAAATTCAGACGAAAATTTTTAACAGCGTAAACATATGAAAAACGAAAGATTTCATCTTTGGAACTGACAGATGAATTTTGTCTCACAGTGCAATTCTCATAGCCGAAATGTGGATGCAAAAATTCTCTTCCGAATACCCCTCGAGCTTCAAAATTAATCAGGTATTTCCTTCAAGGTTCCCTGCGTACAAACACGATTGACAAACACGATTTGTCAATGATTAAAAGGACAATTGAATAATTGTTGGATTAATTCGACGCAAGACTGTTTGCCAGATCAGCGCTAATCTCGAAGTTTATTAAAATTAAAATCATCAACTAAAGTGTCAACCCCTGAAAACAATTAGAGAAATCATTAGGAACGATTCAAAGGACAATTTAATTATTGATTGATTAATTCGACTAATCTCGAGGTTTATTCGAGTTGAAATCATCAACTGAAGCTTCAACACTTGAAAGCAATTAGAGAAATCATTAGGAACGATTGGCGTGACGACAAACATCTGCATCGAGGCCCATCGAGCGTGAACAGCGGAATCCAACTGATAAATTTTTCAATCCTCCCCCATCCCCCTGCCACCTGTTGCAGCCTTGAAAATCGGCAGGGATCAGCATGGAATAGCTCTAGCTCTAGCTCATGGAGCTTCTATCCATGTCCTACGTGCCCGGCCCGATAGAAATGACTTCCTGTCATTCGACAAATATTTTATTCCCGCTTGTTGTGTTGAATAGCTGATGCAGCAGCATGAGCTGGTGTTGAGGAAAAATAAACATGGGAGAATAAAAAGTTTAAAGTGGACGATCTTTCAGGAGCTAAAACCCCTAGACGATGTTTACTGAACCGTATAAATCATTCAGAATGCTTCAGAGATCCTTGAACACTGGGGAATGAAACGCATGGATCAAGGGGAAATGTGCGCTTCAGGAAAATGGGGAAGATGAGTAAAAAGAGGAAAACAGGAATGAGTTCTTTCATACTTCTTCCGGGGCGGGAGCCTGTGTTTACGGATGAATGGAAACGGGTTATTAATTCGTTATGAGACCGATGATGGCTTCTTCAGTTGG